CAAATGGATGGTTACTCGGTTCCATTGTGCTATCTGCTCTTGCTTTGACTACTTGGACTTCAGTGTGATTTTGCAATCTGGATTTCTGTGCTTCGCCCATATTCATGTTCCTTGCAAAATTATAAAAATAACAGAAATAATAAATAACAAAGAAGTAATAAATAACAACAACAACAACAACAACAATAATAATAATAATAATAATAATAATAATAATAATAATAATAATAATAATAAAATAATAGAATAAAAACATGCACAGCTCAAGACTTATCCACAAAATAAAAATATAGTACGGATAACCATTTATGATAATTATTTTTCACACACACACGCACAACCTTTTTTTAGCATGGTACGCCCACCCACCATCAAGACTTGATCCCCCCTCCATGCTAAAAATTGCTCAGTCATCGAACCCCTCAATATAAAAGACTTGCACCCTGCAACAATTAAAGAAACACCCGTCCTTAATCCCGCACCCCACTTCCCAGCCCACATCTATAACAACACCCGTAAAAACATTAAACATAGCCTATAAACGCTCACCCAAAAACAAGTTATGGGATTTAAAAAAAAAAAAAAAAAACTTCCCCACACCCTACACACACACTAAGAAGAGTTAACAAAAAAAACCACCTTCTTGACGAGCATGCAAAAATACCACGCAAAGCCAGACCAAACACACCTACTCCAGACAAACCAACACTCCGCCTGCAGCACCACGCCCAAACGACGCCACTCCCCTCCTGTACGACACACAAGTCGCAACACGACCAAGCAAGACGACGAAAAAGATCCCCCTCCCTCGACCTTGAGGCTTACACACTATAGCCATCTCACCGCCCAAATGACAAGCTAGCCCACACCCCTTGCGACATTGGCAATTAAACAGGACAAACACAGACTTGGCGCAAACAAAAGCTCGCAGTAAACGCGGCAACACATTCCTCGGTATGTACGACCCCTTTGAAGATACAGAACCATCAACACTTACAACAAGATGGAATACTCACAACCTCTACTACCCAGCCCCCAACAAAATAGCAGCAGACATGACCCCCGCAACCGCACTCCTTGCTTCACATATTCACACCCTTATAGTACACAACCCGTAACCTGCAAATCAAACTACAACAAGGCAAGCAATACTACGCCACCACCTACAATTACGTTAATTACTCCCCATATAACCACCATACTACCACCGCAAACCTCATCTGCTGAAGTTAAGCCTACAGTACTAGCTCGCTATACGCTACCCTATGCCACCTCCTCCCCGCTACAAACTCCTAAACAATCGCCACAACCTCCCCCCCTAACGCTCGCGTGCCGAGCGAGCACGAGCATTCTGACGCTCGCATCTTCGGGACGCCATCACTACTTCTCGTCTAACGCCTTCCAGCCATCGCTGCGCCTCGGGAACATGGCGACCATTGAGGAGACTTCGTCTTCGCAATCGTTCCGATCACAGGTGTGTTACTGCTCAAACATACCTCTAACCTCCCCCCATACCCCATCATCTCTGACTCCTCCTGCCACTCCCCATCTACAAACTAATCTGGAGATACATCCCTCTGACGAGCTGCTATGGGTGCTAAGCAGCGAAAAGCGCGCTTCAGGGCGTGCACCCCCCTACGGTTGGGTTCTACTACCCTTTCCTAACCCTTACTAACCCCCTAACTCTAACCATCCTAACATGCTCCTCATAACCTAACCTATGATGTGTTGAATGATCTTGTACCTAATCTTGCTTTCTGGCGAACATAACGACAATATCTTGTATCCCATACTTTATGGGTTAGCCGTGTTTCACACACCCCCTACATACGCTCCCGGATGGTACATCCAGTTGCTAAGTTTGGGGTTGAATCCCCTACTCACTAGACTGCGCCAATGTCCTCGCTAACCTCTAACATACTTTTCGTACAGGATGATCGGCTTGACAATCGCTCAACATCCGCCCACCCCTACCTCATAGCCCCTTGCTTATGATAAACCTACCCATTGATTACGTATAGTCGATGATAAAAGAACCCACCACCTATACGACGCTAAAGAACTATACAAATATATCGAACACACAGAATCCCTGCATATAGCGTCGCAGGAGTACGTTGTACATCGGATTGCTACCACTCATGACTAAATATACGCACTCTCATCCAATCCATCAACACGATTCTCAAAACTAATTGTTTTGGCACAAATTTTAGTATACATCCCTGTTATACATTAAAACCCCACCCTACTCCAAATATTTATGATTGATCGCCTCTTATCTACAAAGATCGAAACATCTTACACGCAGATCTCCCGTATAAATACACAGTCTTTTCCTATGAAAGGTACCTTGATATTGCTACCTA